GACCCCTCCGAACAAGATGATTTTGGTACTAGTTCTCCATTGGCAGCAGGACTATCTCTGGCCAATAGAATTAAATTATATTACTATGGGATCCATATGAGCTCGGGAAATGGGCTAGCCTCTCGGCAGTTTGATTCCTATGCAGCGTAGTTTTTGCTCGAAATTAATTGCTCGTGCAGCCATATTCACAATTTGTTGTATTAATGAATGTAGTTATATTTACTTATGAAATGTCGTGTTGGAAAAATTAATTGCTTTATGCGTTGTCAATGTTATCTCTCGCAATTTTTGGTGGTTAGGTGAGGTGAGAATTTGGACAGAGGTCCTAAGTACAGATACCTTAGCCCCGGTCTGTTTTATGTCAGTGGGACCAATAGCCGTTCGCAAGGGCCAACTTGATCCTCTTCCCCAGATGAGGAAACCTAGGAGAGCCACTGTACGATCCATACTAGATCTAACCAACTGTTCATCCTACCTCCTCTACATTCTTGACAGCCCATCTTTGTCTCAGTAGAGTCTTTCAGTAGCATGTTTCCTCAGACTCTTTTTGCCTTCACTGATCATGAGATGTTTATAATTTTGAGAGCATCTGCTAGGTTGTGATCTTTACATTTATAATTGGAGTGTCTAGAAATAGGCCAGGCAACCTATCAAGGCCTATGTTTTGGCCTATTTAAATACAAGAGCAGGTTCAAGCTTGTTTATGTTATCAAGTCTGGTCCAGGCTCGCTGACAGGCGTAAGCCTGTGAGGCAGCCTGGGCATATTTTGTTTTTTTTTTTTTGTGTTACAATTATAGATTTGACATAACCTATCTAAAGTATTGAAGTTTAACCTGGGCGCCGCTGCTCCTCCTCTTGGCTTCTTCCATTCTTAGTTTCACACGTTGCTCACACACTTCGCAAAATCGCATCGCACACGGCACATACACTTCGCAGAATCGTGCACGCACAGTCTTCGGGTTGGCTTCTTCCATTTTTTGATTTGTCCGTTTATCACTCATACTCTGCCTATTGCTTCTTCCATTTCATTCTTTGCTGTCTGTTTTTCGTGACTGTGCTCTACCTCTTTGATTCTTCTGTTCTTTGCTCAGTTGCTGACGCCACGACGCTCTATCTCCAACCTCTATTATCAGGTATGTGGCTCATGTTCATACACACACACACACATATAGTCGTGCTCTGCCTATCCCAAGGAGTATAACATTGTTCTGAGGGTCTTGGGATTTATAAATAATTCATACGTTACATACGAATGAACAAGATAGATGATGCCATGATACTTCATCAAATATATTTGTTTTAGTTTTTTCCCCCTTTTAAGTCTTATTGATTGCTTATTGATTTTTAGGTGTATACTGAGGGTGTGCTATTAATTCATTTAGTTTTGGCATGACGTTGGATCATAGCATTCACATCAATTGAGTTGATTTTTTCTCCATTTCTGCCTATTTGGACCTGCATGAGTGCACGAGTCACGTCGTCAAACTGATCTATTTGAGTCTAATGTGATACGGCTAGAACTGTGTGCCTGCATTTTTAGGAAATGCATTATATTGTATTGTAGTAGGAATTTGTAGAAAGTGAAGTATGGGTCTTATTTATTTGCTTAATATATATATGTGTGTGGTTTGTAACTGAATAACCAAGTTGAATGTGAAGGATTCTTAGTCATTTCAGAATAGTGTGTGGTTTATTTGCTAAATACCATTTTCCTTCTACATGTTTTCATAATATGCATATTCTAAATCATTCAAGATGTGTTGTTCCTTTATTTTGGGTATTCATTTCTCAAGCAATCTTGTGTCAGATGAAAAATAACAAGGTTACTTTTGATGAGTTTGTTGGTCTTGATCTCTCTAACATATATTTGTGATAAGTCATTTGGATTATTTATTGAGTTCTACACTTCTAATTAATGTCAACTCTATTTGAGAGTGAAACGATATCATCTAATTCAGTTTCTCTTAATACAACTAAGGTCAATCAACAAGCACTAATAGGTTTTGCGGTTTGATAATTTGTTTATAATTGTAACAAGAACAAATTGATTTGATTCTTTCATGTTTTATGTTTGTATTTTAGATAATTTTGAAATTTGTTAAAATATAGGTCTTAACAGGCTTTAGGTCAGGTTAAGCTTAGGTCGAATAAAAAGCTTTTCGTAGGTCATAGGCCAGGTTTAGGTCAGTAGGCCTGGCCAGTGAAGTGTGGTTTAGTCTTACCTGTTTCTACTCCTATATGTCATTAAAACAGGTTTTTGCTTAATACTCTTTGACCAGAAGGACTTGCGGCCTCTATATGGTTTATATTTAACACTAAATTATGCGTGGATGTTTTCCTCCTCCCTTTTGATTGTTAAAACTTGAAAGCAGATCATAGACTTATGGTAAAGTCCAATTATCTGCCCATTTGTCTGGACATAAGATCATTCACCCTTATATAGCAATGTAATTCAAGCTCATGGGAAATAATTAGAAGTAGAGGCAACCAGTGAGCCAACCACATTCATTAGTTATTACAAATATGAATATATTTTAATATTCATTCATAAATCTGAATCAATAATCAATCAAAGAACCCAAGGGACCCATTTCTAATACAATGGGGGGAAAAAAACTCTTAAGGACCATTTCTTCGAGTTTTCTGCAAAATGAGAAACTTGATCAGAAATATATTATGTTCCTGAATTACATTTAAACATACATTGGGAGAACAAGAACTTTGAGGGAAATACATGGTAGTTCATAAGATTGTTATATGGTAATTTTTCAAATGTGAGAAATTAATGCAAACTGATCCCAACACGGTAGTGAGATGAGAAAATTCATCTAGTAACAATTTTGAGAGGCTATTCATTGCTTATAAATGTTCTATTGAAGGTCTTTTACAATGTTACTGAGCCTGACTCTACATGGATAGATGTCATCTGAGTAGTTTTATAGGAAAATGTTGTTTTCATTAAAAAAAAACAAAAAAAAAAACATAATTATTGGTAGCTTTTCGTAAGACAAAACAATGAATTGTTTTTCCTAACATATGCTTTTGTTACTAGCGGGACTTATGATGGCCTAACTTGGTTTCTACATAATGTCAAAAAGATTATAAAATCAATAGGGCCTACGATAGTTTCATATCAAAACAAGGCAATTATTAGTGTTGCCAAGCTGCATTTGGTGGCAAGAGACTTCTTGCTATTGGCATGCAAAGAAAAACTATACTCCTTGTCTTTTTTTTAAGAGCCTCGTAATTAAATTACGTAGTTTAAAAAAACTATTAAAATTAGTTAAAAGTAATAAATATATAAGGAATAAAATTTTTTCTAAGTATACTCTTATTTACAAGGGGCAAGTAAGGGAGAGAAAATATGAAAGAGAATGTAGTATCACAACTTGTCAACTTTTTAATTAATACAATATGCAAAATTAATTAGAGGCAAAAATGGTACAAACGCATTAAATTTCAGATGGGATCTTATAAAGAGAATCAAGACGATTCAAATTTTATGCTCTTATAAAAAGAATCGAAAGAAGTAATACAAAGTTTCTAAAAATCAATAGAGGTAGGGAATAGATTTCAAATAATAGCACTAAATGATGAACTCAAACAGTCAAAATGCTTTATTAACAATGTGTATTAGAATGAAAACATTTAACATGTGTAATTTCTATAAAGATTGTTTTAGAAAATAAATAAATAAATATAATAGATAAAGTAAATTAAAATCTTATATTTATGGTTAAATTAAATCTCTAATTAGTTTTATATTTAGTAGTGGAGGTAGTAACATTACAACTTTCATTGGACGTGGCATGACATCCAATGAATCCTTAATTAGTATTCTTCCGGTCCTAAATATAACATTTAATACTGTGGTATAAGGGTCTTATATTTAGGATCGGAGGAATAGTATACATAGGAGGATTAATCACACGCAATAAACTAGAAAGAGGGGTAAATTCACATATCTCCATGCGGAGATTGAAAACCTGTGGGAACTATCATGAACGGCTGATATTGCCCTTCTGTCCTCGCAAGGGTCTCGGGCCACATCGCTCGTACTGATATTCTGTCTTCCAGAGAATCCTATGAAAGCACTCCAATGTGACCATCTCATTTGACCGAATAGCCTCATGGAGGGAAGACCTACACAAGGTGGTGGCGTGCTGATGAGAGACTGTAAATCAACGTGAGCAAATTTTTGCATATCCTCCCTCAACAGATTCCGATTCCACATTAGGGTCCAATCTTTTGTATGAGAGAAAATTCATGAGGGGTCAAGCTAGTAAACCATAACTTAATTTCTCCTACTGATCATTTTGGAATATGAAATTCTCTCTTTGCTTCCCCAAAAAAGCAAGACGAGATTAATAAAGCTACAACGTGATCCGTATTTCCCTCCCATGAAACATCGTATTCCTTGCTCACCAAACAATCATGATGACGCCCTTGCTGCATTCCATCATATTATTTCTCAAATCAACCTTGGCTAGTCACCTCTTAACCCCAATAACAAAACCAGATTTTAAGATCTGTCCTATTTTAATTTTAGGAGGAGATGCAGACTAAAAAGCTCTGGGCCAATCACAACTCGGCAGGAGATAATCTATAGATTCTCTTTTCGCGCCACAAACGGACAAATGAAATCGCCTTGTACATTATGTCTCTGGAGCACCTCGCCAAGGGAACTGCGCTATTAAAGAACTTCCAAACACACATCAAGAATTCAAGACCTCATGGGTCAACGAAATCTTCCACAAAACTTGCCAACTCCGAGGTGGATCGTAGGCTTCCCCTTCCCTGCTGCTCATCTATAGGCCTTCCTAACCAAGAAGACAACCGGACAACGGAACCTTTTGTGACTATTCAGCACTCGTATCAAAAAATCAGGACTATCCAGACACAAAAAGGACATCTTCATAATCTCTACTTAAAGAACATTCCAACCGATTATCTTGATCAGACCAAACAAATTTAGCATCGTGAAGACGCATGGGTCATTGTGGTTGATAGGAATATGAGCTCCAGATCCCACACGCCATCTAAGGTATAGTTCATAAGTTGAATTGATTTGATTACACTGGAAATATATAAATATATATTGCGCAACTTAGGCTGAATTTGACATAATGATTTTTTTTTTATGCTCAATAGATTTTTTGCTGATTTTTTTATTTTTTTTAACGTTCAGTTTTTTTTTCACTATGTTGAATTTGAAAATTTAGGTATGAAATTTTAAAATTATTTTATTTCAAATTAAAATCATCTTTTTATAAATATTAACTGATTCTACATGTAATTAACGGCTTTATTTACGATTCTGTTCATAAGGAGAAATATGAATTTATGAATTACGATTACGCTCGCCCTCGCATTTACACGTGTGGATAGAAATGTGAGATTGCAGCAGTAGCGGATAGATACCGCCACTGTCTTCGCTTGGCCATCTCAACAATGGCTTCCATCCCCTCCTGTACCACCCACCAAACTATTTCTTCCAAATCCCTCGCTTCCCCCGTCTCCTTCACAAAATTGGACTCTGGCTTCCTCGCTTTTACAACTAAAGTTGGTTTCCTCAGACTCACCTCTAGAATCGGACCCTCCAATGGCTCCAGAGCCAAGTGCTGGTTCAAATTCGGTAAAAACGGTGTTGATGCTGAAGGAGCTGGAATCTATGGTAGCCAATCCCGCGATGATTTCGATAGGGACGACGTTGAACAAGTGAGCACCCTATATTGAATTTTTTATTGCTCTATCTGGTTTCGTGTTAGTAGCTCTAGCTTGTATGGATATGATGTTCATTGATAGTCATCGTTTTGATATTTTAGGTATTCATAGATGAGTACTAAGTGAGGAAAAATAATGTTGTTTATATAGAAATGTTGTGGTTGTTCTCCTACTTAGGTGGAGGTTTCGTTATAGCTGGCTTGTCGTTTAGCGTTGTGCGAGATTATTACGTGAAAATAATCTTATTTTGCTTAACAAGCTTGTCGGGCATGCAGAATAATTAAGATCGAATCCGCGATTATTTTCGTTGAATAAGTTATAGATAAGCAAGACTAATGTTGATTATCTAGATTTTTTTTGCCCTGCGCTATGGAGGATATGCATTGGTGACTTCCAGTCACGGATTATGATAGATAATGAGAGATTGAGCCTGAAGAATCTCATTCTGCGTTTCAATTTCGTATCAAATGCAAGAGAAAAGGCTGTAGTCTTTATTCTTGAACTACTTATTCATGCTCCAACGTCAAGAGTAGGTTTATATGGGGACTTGATGAATTAGCTCTGTTTTCTGGGAACTAACTGGGAAAAATGGAAAGGCAAATAGAAGTGTAATGGAGGATGAGCAGCTGCACCAATGATGATAAATTGGTGTTTTTTATCTACTTTTTCCGCCTCTGTTGAGCTGAAGATTTAGGATTTTGGGTTGGGATTGATATGAATCTGGAATTAATGTATCCTCAGATCTCTTGGCCGTTTCCCAACCTTTGCTACATAATAAATGGAGAGCATTTATAGCCCAACTTATTGAAGTTCTTTAATATGTTGCGTCGATTTAGATTGGGATTCATATGTACTCACAATTAGCATGCATATAGTTTTTCCTTTAACGATCATAATGAGTTTTCTGAAGTGGGATCCAATTCTTTTAACTCAGTGCTGTCCATCCAGTCTCTTCTATTGAACGCTGTACTGAAAACAAGGATGTTTACTGTGGTCTTCATTCTCAGTGATCTTTCTACTTGTTCTGTAGTAATTTTTTCTGTTCATTTTGTAGCGTTCCATTATGCATAATTATAATATCTCTGATGTTATCTTTCCCAGTACTTCAACTACATGGGAATGCTTGCTGTTGAAGGATCATACTCTAAAATGGAGGCTCTTTTAAATCAGAACATCCACCCAGTGGATATCTTGCTTATGCTAGCTGCCTCAGAGGGTGACAAGCCGAAACTGGAGGAACTCTTGAAAGCTGGAGGCAAGTATGATGTCAAAGATGCCGATGGACGAACGGCTCTTGATAGGGCCAACGATGAAATTAGAGATTTCATTTTAAGTTTTTCAGTCCAGAAGGCATGATTAGTTTGTTCTCTGTGTGTCACATAGCTATTTACGTTGTGCCAGCTTTCAAATTCGAATTATGCCTTTTAATTTTGAATTATAGAACCGAATGATTAATTAGTCTACAACACGACGAATGTGATTGGACTGACTGTTTCATTCTAAAGATGAGTACTGCGTCCTGTACTTTATATTACGCGTTTGGCTTCTCTCCTTTGCCTTTATTGTCTGCTGCTCCCCAAACGGCCCTGTTTTCCAACCATTTTATTAAGTCATTGGTTTCCAAAACTTCCAAGTCCTCCCGCCGAGCTGCATGAGTTCAGAATTCGAACTACATCCGTGGCGGAATGTTGGGCGAAATGCGCGTTAAGACCGTCGGTCTCTTCTCACCGGAGCCTGACATCATCTTCTCCAGAGCTCAGATACTGGACATAGCCGAATTTAGAGCATCGGGTTCCCTCCTCGGTCTCCCATCGCACGAATTAGTGAGAGCCTCCGCTCTATCACAACGATGTAGACACGCCCCAATATTCTAACGAGTTCACCAAGGACAAAGCCTCCGCGATACCCAAAGACTACTGTAATATCTGATGAACTCAAAGGCGATAAAGCGCAATGGATTCTAATATTGTACATAAGTGATTGCAGCATCAAGGACAAAGCCCTCAAGATACTCTTAGACTGTTGCTTCTTTTTTTTTTTTTTTTGTGGCTAGGTACGGATATTTTCCAGTTGAAGACACTAAGACCAAACTTTGGCGTTATCTTATTTCTTCACAATGGATTCGTTGTCACTTAATATTGGATTGAGATTTCTTTTTACCAACAATGGATTGAGATTATACAATATATTGTTTCTGATTTTTAATATAAGAACTAATTAGAAATTAAATTTGATCCTTAATATAATATCACAGTCTATTTTGTTATCCAAATTTATAATTCGTCCTCTAAAGTATTCTTATTGATTACACATGTTAAGAAATTTCTATCTAAAAAAAGTATTTTAGAAAAATAACTTAAATTTGTACAAATAACTAATTTAAATAATTTTTTAATTTACTTAAATTAATTAACTACCAAAAAGATGTAGATTCTTTGTGATCCGATCCATATATGCGTGTTAATGGAAGATGCACAACTTATTTTGTACATGGAAGAAAGGTGAACTTCTTCCTTTTTCTTATCCGATCCATATAACATGGTTATGAACAACCATAATGACAGACAGCAATCTCATACTTGAGTAATCAGAAACTTCCTAGGGGCTCCAGAAAATAGATATTAGAGTAAGCTAACCATAATATCAATCATATCCTTTTTTAAAAAATTAATTGACCACATAATAGCCTTAAATATAGGCCGAAAAATTTTCTCCAATGAATACAATATCATTACAAATAAATTTCTCCGCTAATTATCAAGGATATATAATCCGAAATTTTCAATTTTTTCTAAATGATGTCAACTGCTTAAGTAAGCCCACGTCATGAATCAAAGGCAAGATAAGCTCCAAGAGTCCAAATTATTTTTGAGAGAAATTTATCTGAAGCAGATACCATTTTGATTGAGAAAACCTTTAAAGGAATAAATTTCAAAAATTGTTTCTCTTTACATAACCAAATTGATGAGAGTACTATCACAAAATAAAATCATTAATTTACTCTAAAATAACATGTCAACCAAGTCAATCACCAGAATAATATACACACACACACATCAGACATGATTTTTATATACACTTGTTTTAACATATTTTTGGCTTTTTATAATTAATTTGAACTATTGAATTGTAATAGACTAAATGAGGTCTTGTATTAGTTGCTGTCAACTGTCAATCCGCGCACCGACGTGCCAGCTGTGAACTCTTTCAAAAACAAAGCATAATGGGATCTGACCGGCGTAGTTATTACTTAAAATAAAGCTCAACAAGCTTCTTCAAAGTGTCAAATACACTAGTCAAGGGATTAAGCTCAAGAGGGGACTTCAGTTCTAGGTCAGGAAACTGATTGGTTAATGCCCGCTGCATTCCAGACATGGACATCATTGCCGCCAGCTGACTATTCGACATCACTTCACAATCCTGAGGTGTGTCTTTGATTTTGCTTGGATCATATCCAAAATTGGCCAGATAAGCTTTATACTTCTCTATAAATTCAGGTCCAGGGTCTGGTGTCCTGGAGTATATCTGAGATATTGATTGAAGACAAGGATATGAATGCGTCAATCCCAAGTATCAATGGGAGTGCTGATAATAAACTTATTCATGGATCTATAATTCAATATAAAACTGGGATAAAATCTATTTTAGCATTAGCATGAAAGTTTCTGTGACTAAAAGTAACTTATAATTGAATCCTCTTTCAAAAATTATTCATTTAGCTAGTCAAATTTACAATAATACAGAAAGACTCGCTACGCGCACTCAAATGCGTGTGTAGTTCTGAGCAGATTTAGATCTTCTGAAATCAGAAGCTTGTAAAATGAATGCATCAATCCCATGCACATTCTTACCGCTTGTATCATTTTTCTCTATCACTTCAAAGACATTTTAACCTCAGGAGGTCCAAATTAATTCTTAACCTGAAATGCCCCAATGGTGACCAAGTTCACCTTCTTAACAAGTCTCCACTATTAAGATACAACGTAGCATTGCCTGTTTAATGGACATAATGGAGAATAATGGCATGTAATGCGTAATGTTAAAATAATTTTAACATCAACAATGACTATCAGTGTCTTTATTCAAAAATAACAACAACAATTAAAAACGGGCTGTTGCGAAAGAAGGAAGAAAAGGAAATCTGTTATGTAGAGTACATCAGAGTCCCTTTCCAACCAAATACCAAAGGGGTGCTGAGAAAAGCTGGACAATACGTTGGATGCTGATCAATAGCAATTGACTTTGCAAAAGGGGCTCATGGCTTTATTTCTAAACAATGAGATATAGGTAAAAATAACACGAGGCATAGAAGTTGGAATGATAGCTTATTATCTGACAAAGATACCTGAATGAAACTTCTGTCTTTTGCTCCTGAAACGAGAGAAAAATTGTCATAATCAGTAGCGATCACATCATATGGCTCCTTGGGGATGAACGGCAATGTGGGAAATCGGAGATAGCATTTCTCTTTAATCATTTCTTGCTTCTCCAGTTCTGTCTCTTTTTTCTCCAAATCATCTTCTGAAAGACATTGAACCCCTCCCCTAATTCCAGTTATAAATCCATCAGGTCCTCCATGAACACAAAAGGTATCAACTTGAATAGAGGGTGTCTCCCTGTCAAATGTATACACACCCTGAAACGTTTTTGGCCTACCCAGATTAATGGCAAGAAGCTTATGTACGACAAACCTAATAAAAACAGTTACATATGAGCATCCACCAAACTGAACGAGAAGGGTTATTTCTAACATATTAAAACAGCTAAAGCATATATTTGGTCCTTTACCTTTATACAAGGTTTCAATTTAGTCCCTCAACTTTAAAAAGTGTATTTTTAGTCCTTAACCCTAAAATTGTTAATCTTAAATAATTATTTTTTATAACAATCATGGTTGTCTTGAAAATTAAACTTAACATGTTAGCATTTGAGAATGTTTCATCGATGTCATTATTTTTTTGTTAATGATTTTAGGGTTAAAAAACTAAGAATATACTTTTAAAGTTAGAAGACTAAATTGATATCTTATACAAAATTAAAAGACTAAAAGTATATTTTAGCCTATTAAAACTAATATAATGAATGATTCTTTGAGAAACAATCCACAGTTCGTCTAATGAACAATCAAGAACCTTAGCATTTGTTTGTGATGATCAAGCGGGTGTGCAACTGAGAGGTCTTCATTCCCCTACATTTTTTTCCTATATTGTTATACCCCTCATCAGCAAATTTTTCCTCACTTTCCCTTACTTCTATAAAAGGCTAACATTGCAAATTCTACTTTTTAATCTCTTCCATTCCATTAATGACGTTGTGACTCCTAAACAATTTTGATTCTATTACCATCCATTTTCCATTAAATTTCCAAACAATTAAGAGGGAACTCTTCCTCTTCCACTACATGCCCTTCCAAACTTCTTCATTAGGGCCTGTCTAGTACACGAAATGGAAAGACAAGAAAATGAATAGAATGGGAAAAAAATGATTTTGAAGATGCAGAATGATTCTCATATTCTTATTTTAACAAGCAACAAGAAGCAATAGGAGATAAATTGTTCAGTAACGATGACCATTGTATAATAAAAATTGCAAGACAGTAATCATTTTCCTCCTACCAAACGAGACATTAATTACCAACTGATCACTCAACTTCATTCTCTTCAAAACTCTCAAACAAATCCTTAGGATCTCTCTCTGCCTTTAGGCTTCAGTAACATGTTAAGAATAACAGGAAGTCTAATAGGGAAAAACGTAACAGAAACCTAACCGCAATATACCTTTTTCCTAAGATAAATGTCGTCCTTAAGATTCACAATCATACTAATTTTAGCTTTTACCTGAGTGCAATGGCAATCTTCTTGACCTTGTCCAGCAAATCCCCTTTTGAGTGAAGCTACCTCAAACCACCTTCCAGAATATCTAACAGGATCAAAATCCTTCGCTGTCATGCCTCTCATCATCATGAGATTACTACCATTTTCATTAGACCCATCATCAATTGGAAGAGTAACTCCATTATTGTTACTGGCACTGGCAAGCTGGCATGTATTTTGTTGAGATAAATCTACTGCAGCAGCCTGTTGATGGAATCATCAAGGTGAATTAGCAACACCTCAATTGTCGTCATATGCAAAGAGACATGTTAGCCAGTTCCTTAACAATAAACCATAAATTCTAGTATGTATATCTCCATAGGAACATCCAACCTTCTTAGAAACCTCTCCATGGATGATATAATATGTATAACTAAAGGCGAATACAAGGTGCATTCAGAAAATCATACAAGATACGTCTCAACAAGTACGGCACCCCGGAGAAATATAAGGTGTCCTGTAAGATCAAAACTTCAATGCTAATAATATAGGGTAACAATATCTTCCGTTTTCGGGGAACGCCGTCTTCCCTTAAAAATTTTCTGACCGCGGAAACGAGAAATACTAAAGTTCCAGTTAAATACTAGTACAAGGGACTTTCGCCATGCTCATGTAATTAAAGGTGCCTCAAATGAGCATGATATTTGTTTATGATATTTTA